ATACTCAAATCGTTGTAGATGTTCTCTTAAAACCATACTGACATTTAGCAGAAAATGTGAGTGAATTTGAAATGATCAAGGGTCACGGAATCTGAATACGAAAAATTAAAACAAGCATATTGTCGCTGTCCGACCCGAGAGAGAAAATAAAGCCAAACAAGTCACTTATTCCTCCCTCTAGGTGCATAAAAAACCTTGTCTGGATTCGCACCGACAGATTCGGCCTATCTCGCATCGTTTATGTAAACCTTATTTAGGGCCCACATGAGACCCAATTGCAGGTCCAGCTCGAGCATTCTACAATGCAAATCTATGACTTTGTAGAGAAAAAAGTAACTACACCATATATGTTTCATATTTACGCTCAACTTTTTCGCACACAAATTTTAGCATAAGTTACTCTAAGCATGGAACTTGATATAAAAAGAAAAGACCAAATACCTATTGACATCGAAATTTTTCCTATAGATCCATCATACATTTCCACATTTTCAAAAATTATGTTTTCTTTCTACCACATAAAATGTCTTGCCTGATAAGTCAAATTTGCTTGTGTTTACAAGCATAATTATTTTCTCATTCTTGTGGAGTTTACTTTTACAACTTATTACTAGATATAAATGATACTTGTGATTTAATTTTTCTACAATACTTTTTCCCTTAAAGTTTTCTTGAGAGAAAAGAAAAGATTTCTCCTATTCTTGAGAGAAAATTTTTTTTTTATCCCTATCACATGATTTCTCCCTAATGGAGGGGCTTTCGTATCACATTTGACAATATTTGAGACTTGACTGCACTTTTAAAAAGTACTAAAACTCAATTGCACTTTGCAATAAAATTTTAGCATTATTGGTGCACTTATAAAAAATTTAAGGAAAGAAATTTAAATAATCAAAAAGACATTGAATGGCTTTGGTTTCCCTCTGAGATACTTTCCACCCCCATACATTGTCATTGTACATTATGAATACGGGTCAAGAAATGTTAATGCAACAAGTCTGAGAAGCAAAATGGATAGATGACAATGACTAGTGTATGATCCACTCTCTTGATGATTGAGATGATGATGCATGATCCGGAGAATAGTAGATTATCTTGCCTACTTCAACATCGTATCAACATATATTAGATGAAATTAAAAAAAATGACAATCCGCAAGCTTTTATTTTGCAAAAAATCGACGATTTGGAAAATATGTTTCTAAAATTGATTGAGGGTATCGCTTACAAAAATGATTTCACTAAAAGATTTTCATCATCAATGAAAATATTTAGAAATAGATTGTTATTGATAATGAAAATCCATCGACTAATTTTTATAAGCGATACAAATAATTATTCTTATGAATATGTTAACATGCCCTCAAACAAACGAACGAGTGTTGCAAACAGTATGTCTTGGGCGAATCCTTGTTTTTTTTTTTTGATGACCCAGGGAACCCCCGCATGGCCGACAGCCGGGAGGTAAACCCTGGGGGCGACACGTGCTAGCCACCACACACGTGCACCTGGTTAAGTCACCCTGCGGCACCCAGGATTCGAACACTCAACCTTTTACGAGAGGAAGAGTGCGCGTTCCAGCAGCGCCACCCAGGCGGGTGGTGTCCTTGTTAGTGCTCTTTGTCAGGAAAAAAACTCATTGTTGGAACAACTATGCCCGGAGAGAATGACTAGATGACCAAAAATCTATCTGAAGAAAGTCCATAGATGGAGAACAGTTGATTCACTCTCCCTTATCCACCGTTTTAAAATGCAAAACTTAAAAGTGTTCGATTTATGACGAATTTTTTAAACAAATCTTTTTCTATAAAAAATTGCTTCCTGTCGATGGAGATTTGATTCACTATAATAAATGCTTTAACACACTTTATTCTTAGAGGATACATCAAACTTACCTATTCACATCCCTAGATTTCTAAGAATGTCCGTGATGATACATATTTACATACTCAAACATCGATTTGCATGTCAAGGCTCAAAATGTGCTCCAAGTGAATCAATCCAACATTCAGACCTCCCATGAAACCCGGCGATCTTTTTACCGGTTGATGGAAAAGAAAAGTACTTCCCGGTCTCTAACAATGGCCCTAAAAGTTCTTTCATTGCTCTGAAATGAGAGGGAGCGAACAACAATACGCCCTCGCGAAAACATCCGAGTGTCCGAAAAATGAAGTCAAGTACTCTCGAGGATAATCGAGTTTAATCGCAAAATTAGAAAGACAAACATATTAATCCCAACCCCCCAACTATAGAATCTCGAAAATCAGCATAAACGAACACTCTGGTTGATAAGTTGTATTTGGTTAAACAAACAATGTAATAGCTAAATAGATAATTCTGCTGCATCTAGAGCACATGACCTATTTTGGTCTGCCACGAGTTATCAAATCATTAGATCTATAAAACGAAAGGCAATTGCTTAAAAAATGCTCTGCAACTCTTTGAGAACGTTACTAAAATTAAGGAAAATTGTTCTTAGACTTAAAAAATCATATAGTAAAATTACTTTATACTATTCTTTTTTTTTTTCCTTTTCGGAGAGCAGTACTCTTTCTATGATGATATTCCATCATGCCCGACAATGACTTTCTCGGAGGATAATTCTCATTCCGGATCATTTGCCAATCTAAACTCAAAATCATGCCGGACTGTTCTCATATCTTACTTTCACCTCTACGCTCTATTTAGAATACTGTCACACTCCTGTGCATAAACATGACCTCCAAACCATAAGAAAAAACCAAAACCTAGCAACAGCACAGAAGTTGCACGTTCATAAGATCATGAAGTAAGTGTCTAGAGGCCATACCTCGAGTGTCAGAGATCCTCCGTCTCCCCCCATGTTTAGGGCCCTGAACCACAGACCCATTCTTGTCGTATTCAACAGTAATGGAGTCAATAACTAATCCACCTTTTACAGTTATTTTCTCACACCCATGCTATCTCCATCGTCCCATGGACCGCCACATTATCCTCCAAATGGCCCAATGGATTTCAATAGATGAAGATCAGAAATTGGTTCAGAGTAGACTCCTAGCGCATCAAGTTGGACGTACGTCAGACCTTCCCGTGGAAGCCAATTATCTGGCTGCATGTCAATCCACAGCTAAAGAAGCTTCCTTCCTCCTTACCAAAAGGGTCCATGCCTTCTTACGTTGCTTTCGAACGTGAGTGATTGAATAACAGAATTATCATGTCTAATATAACCTGACATGGAGGTCAAGAATTCACGAGGGTAGTCCAAGTTAACCTGCAGAATTAGCAATTTAACCGTCATATTGATCTATATCAAAGATGATAGATAGCCTGCAGTGGCCTAAGCAAACATGGCATTCACGAACAACCTAGAAGTTTAATTCTTAGACCCAAGAATTTCTTAAAACTAATGTATGGATGGACTACTATTCTTGCATCATACTTTTAGGGGGAAAAGTGTCAAAAAAAAGTCATAAACCTTTTGTATTGGTGCCAATTTAGTTCTAAACCTTTTTTTTGTGCCAATTCAATACTAAACCTTTTGCATTTGTGCCAATTCAGTCCTAAACCTTTTGCATTAGTGCCAATTTAGTCTAAACCTTTTTGATGTCATTGGGTCCTAAACCTTTTGCATTGATACCAATTCGGTCCTTTGACACGTGAAGAGCTATTAGCGAAAGGATAGATTGGCATCAATGCAAAGGTAGACTGAATTAACATCAATGCAAAAGGTTTAGGACTGATGGCACCAAAAAAGGTTTAGGACTGAATTAACACTAAAAAGATTTAGGACTAAATTGGCATAAATGCAAAAAGTTTAGGATTTTTTAACACTTTTCTCATACTTTTAAAGTCAACAATCGAAGATGATAGACCATTGGGTTCTCTGGTGCACTTTGCCGATTCATTTTCTTTAGCATTAGAAAAACTTATCATACTAGATCACTCTCATTGAGTCCATCTCGCATAAAGCATATCGATTGACCTTTGTGTAATGTACAAAACAAAAATTACAGGAAGAAATTTAAATGATCAAAAGACAACTTCAATCATTCAGTACATTTGGATGGTTTTCATTTCCCTCTAGGAAGCTTTCCACAACCCATACTTATCATTGTACATCATGCATACAGGTTACTATCACTCGCAATTTACTTTGATAAAGGTTCTCAAGTTTATTAGAAAACTAATACTCGATCTAATGGTGGCGTAGGGCGGTGGTAGGTGCCTATGACCCTCACCATACCTTACCGCACCGCATAAAAATATTCCTTCTAGAGTAGCTATTAATATCAATAAGAAAACTCTATTATAGTTTACGGATAGAGGATTACATAAAGTGAATGTAGAAAATAAGAAATTGAAAGATTTCGTTGAAATTGTTCGTTTACAAATTTCCGAAAAAGATGATCATAGGCTCTTCTTTCCATTGGAACAATAGGGCTTTTATGCTTGTTACTAAACTTATTGAAGAGACGAAATATAACCAAGGCATATCTTTTTTTTGTTAGAGGTTGGATCGATCATCAAAAGAAGGATTAGGCAAAAAATTAGGATACATTCTGGAAAATAAAACTTCCATTCAAAGAGAAGCTAATGAAAGGCTTTCCCAAAAGTTCTCGTAGAATCGATAAGGAGGTTTGTGCATGCACGGGCGTGCGTGAGAGAGAGGATCAACCGTAATATGAATGGAAAATATGCAATGAACTCACCATATGGATATCTCCGTTGCCACTTGTGACCATGTGTAGAGGACCAAATAGACTCGCCATTATCATCATACTCAAAGTAGATGCAGACGACAACATCTTCTAGCATCATCTTTATTTTCTTTACACCGGTAAATTTTCCATCGTCTGACAAAGGTGTCCACCTCGGCCTCCAAATGGTCCAATAAACTCGATCGGATATAGATGAGAGATTGGTTCGAAATATGCTCAAGAGATTCAAGATGGGAATCGAGAACTCCCATAAAATCCAATGATCTTTCCCCCAGTGGCTGGAAATGAAAACTTCCTTCCAGTTTCAAAGGCCGAATGGTCCGTATGTTCTTTTATTGCTTTGAAACGTGAGTGAATGGATGATAGTCGAGCCAAAATCACTTGTAATATAGCCCGACACTGAAGTGAGGTACTCAATTGACCAGCCCAGATTTATCTATAACAATCATTAGAATGTGAGGAATAGTTAATGCAACAACTTGAAAAACAAAAACATTACGCATGGTAGTAATTTGCACTATCATGTCGTATATCTCATACAAAAAGCAAAAATCATTATTCTAAATAGTAGTTAAATGTGCATGAGTGGAAAAAGAAGAAGAAGATGATCTTGCCAAATTCACTATCATGTCATATATCTCGTACAAAAAGCATATACTCTTTGAGTTGCACATGAGATATCATTGGTAATATTGTGTAATTTCGAAATTAACTCATCACTTGTGTTTCATAAAATAACTCATTAGAATAAAGACATCCGAGAATCACAATTAATTATTCCAATAAGTCATTATGGAAGCAACTCATTTAGGCAAAGCAACATTCACAAGCACACATAAATCACACCGATCTTGAAACACAAATAAATTGTGATCGAATAATTTTTCACTTTCATTATGTTACATCCTTTGTTATATTTCCCGGATGAGTTATAATTATGGTGGTTCAACTTGGCCATGTTTTAAACATTAGCGACTAATGATTTCTATCTACGCATTATGTCTTCAGGACATGCCATTATGAGCTGCACGAATCAGAAATAAAAGGAGTAGCTTTCATCTAACACCGAGAGCAACAATTCATTACTCAAATAGCACCGGTACCTTGTTCGTTGTGCCTCCACCACTTGTACCATGTGCAAAAGAATGACCTTGCTCGTAAGTAATAGTAATCGACTCAATTGCAGAACTAGAAACAACATCAATTTGTCTGACATCTGAATGCTTGCCGTCATCCCACTGGTCTTCACAATTCCTATTTCCAAATGGGCCTACGACTTCGAAGGGATATGCACGAGTGATCGGTAAAAGATATGCTCCAATGGAATCAAGAGAACAGCCACACCTCCCAAAAAATCCGATGATCTTACCAGCAACCGGTGGGAAACTGAAAAATTTCCCGCTCTCATTGCCAAATGGACCATATGTTCTCCTATTGCTGTGGAAGGTAAGTGATTGAATGACGGCATATCCACATTCGTCTTTAATGTAGCCTGACACAGAAGTCAAGAACTCATTTGGATAATCTAATTTTACCTGCAGGCAGCAGCACAAATCTAGTTTCCATCACCTTCAAGAAATGAATATTCCCAAAACTAATGATATTTGATTATTTTGAGGACTTAAAAAAGTACTTCAACAGGGATATTGCACGAGCGCTTGCAATCCTTCTCTCAAAATCAATTTGTTAGTCTCACTAAACGTATATTGCAATCATTCGACTCCATCTTAAAACCCTGATTTTTGCATAAACAGATGGAGTTCAAAGCAAAATCAAAATCTTTGATAAATCCTACATCAAGACAAGTATATAAAAACAACAAAACTCTTTCTTTTCTTTTTTCTGTACAAACGTCGAGAATTTGGGAGATCATGAAGCATTGTGGACCAACCCCGTTGAATCCTTTTAAGCAATTTACCTTTGATATAGACTCTTATTTTCTATTGACCAAACAATAACTCATAATTTGATGGGGAGTAGCATAAGTAGACATATATATATATATATAGGCAAAGGTCCACCATGTCTTGGCATAAATATTTACAAATATATGCCATAACATACCACAACAATGGACTCACCGTGCATATTTTGCCTTCCTCAGGTCCACCGTGTCTTGGCGAGCGGACCAAAGACCCATTCTGATCAAACTCAATACAAAAGGACTCAATCACTGACGTTACAACTACAGTAATATTTCTAATATCGGTGAATGTGTTATCATCATAAGAACACCCACCACAACCTCCATATGGCCCGACGGATTGAAAGGGAAGAACAGAGGAGAATGGTTCTAAAGGTAATCCAACTGAATCAAGATGAGGGTCTCTCACCAACTTCTCCAATATCTCATGCCACTGTTTTTTTCTCTTCTTAGAGATGAAGGAACCAAATTTTTTAAGAGCTATTGGAAGTCCACCAGTGTAGTGGACAAGACTCTCTGACAACTCTCTATAGCCTTCTTCAGGATGGTCTTTGCAGAAGGCATGGCGACTCAAGAGTTGGAGCGATTCTTTACGAGTCAATCCTGGGAGCATGTACTTGTTATCTACTTTGAGATCTTCCAGCAACTGCTCATCTCTTGGAGTTATCAAAATTCTACTCCCATATTGGAACCATTCTCGATCTCCAGCTCCGAAATACTCAATTTGGTCCTTCTTAGTGATGTTATCGAGAACTACAAGGATCTTTTTCCGACAGAGCTTAGTTTTTATCTTGTTGATGTTGCTGTTAATATCAAACATTTCTAGACCTTGTACCTTCAGAACATCGTGGAGCAGTCTCTTCTGAAGAAGTGAAAGAGTATCTTGGTTTGCACCTCCAACATTTTCGAGTAAGCTAACGCCTTCAAATTCCCTAAAAACACGATCACGGACAACTTTGGCCACCGTTGTCTTACCAATTCCTTTCATTCCCCATATTCCAACCACACGGACATCATCCTTTGACCCAATTTCCAGCAACGATATCACATCCTCTACAAAGGAATCTACCCCAATAGCATTTTTGACAAAATAGGGGGAGATTGATCTAGGACTGACCCTGAAGAGATGTCCTACAATTTGCTCAATGAAGTTTGATTGATCCCTGTAGTTGCATAGGAAGAACAAGTCGGATATGAGCAACTACATCATAGAGAGGCTATCAGCAGATGAGCAGCAAACGCATGAACTAAACTCAATCAATATCATATTTTAAATCGACCACTACTATGAGCTTTTTCGGCAGTGAACTTATTAAACGCATTACCCATTAGCATCATTATTCAAATGCAATCCCGATATATTCCCAGCTTCTTTAAGCGCATCCCTCCACTTCCGCACCAGCAAATCATCCCGGTGGGTGGCCATACACCTTCCGAAACCATCCCCGAATCACCCGCTCTGTTTCCGGACGTCCCCTGGCTGTTTCCGGACGTCCCCTGGCTCAACATCATAGAAAATGGGCAGAACTACGTGACCCTGACGATCTCTGAACCTCCTGTTGCACTCCAGGATCTCCACCAGCTTGTTCAAGCACCACCATGAGTCGGCATAGTTGGTGGTGAACACGATGAGGGCAACCCTAGAGTGGCGAATTGCGTTGAGCAGCTTGGGCTCGATGAAAATCCCAGTCTCCACTTTGTCATTGTCCCTGAAATAGCAGATCCCAGCCTGCCTCAGCGCGTGGAAGAGGTGGGCCGCGAAGGTCATCCTTATGTCCTCGCCTCTGAAGCTCAGGAACACGTCATACTTCCATTGGTGGATCGAAGCAGAAGACGAAATGCATCGCTTGATCTCTTCGGTTCCCATCAGCACAGTCCGCGATTGAGTGAGAGACTGCGGAAAAGGTTGCAACTCTTCCTCGCAGGTAAGGTGTAGATGTAAAGAGGAGGCGCAAGTTGCGAATGAGAAGAGAGGATGAATGATGGTTCTGCCATCAGGACAGACTGATTATTCAATTGCATGTTCGGAGAAGTTGCGGGTGGAGTTGGTTTGGTTCAAAGAACACATGAAGCAAATTGCTCGCTTGAGGACAATTTGGTTTGAATTCGTCCAGTCAAGCTAAAAGAGCTTTTGTTTCACGCGACATAGATATGTCTGAAAACGCAGACACGGATTCGAAGCTTCAGCACACGCGTTGTAGAAGAAGATGCTTCGAATCAGTTAATTTGTGTTTTCTTTTTGTCTTTTAAAAGCGAAGATATGGGAGGGAGAGATAAGATGAGAAATGATTAGTTGATGATAGACGGACAACCGTTTGGACAGTTTGGACAGTTGGACTTTTCGAGGGAACAAAAGAACAGGGACGTTCTATGGTTTTCGTAAAAGTGTTGCTACGGAGTGGTCCCGTTTTCAATATGGACGGTCGTTGTTGGAAATAAAAGGAAAGAGTCGTCTGTCCGATCGGTTTTGGAAAACCTAATTTGTTATCATAACTTACGGACGTCGCAGGAAGTGATGGTCTTATGTGAACGTGATCAAAGTTGTTTTCGATTAGGAAAAGTCATGATTGGTAAAGAAAATTACTCATCCAAATCTTTACGAAGTGAAAGTTACAATCAATTAGACATCTTGCTAATATTAACGTAAATGAAGTTTACTCTTACTTTACGTACATATTATTATTTTTTGTGAAATATTACGAATCATAAGACTAGAGATTTTATGGCCTCTAAAGATATATTACCCTTTCCAAAGAAATTTACGAGATGAAAGGTAAAATTAGCACAACAGTTAAAGCAGAAGGTTTTTTAGGATATTATCTAAATAAAATCTAGGTTAGATAAAATCTTCTAATTGAATTGCATGACATATAGTTACGTTTTCATTTAAATAAGAGAAAACCCTAAAAAAAAGATTTGATTTGAGTGGGATTGCGTTTTTATTAAAAACTGTAGTTAGATTGAAGATGTGTGTTTCTAATTTGTGTTGCTTCGAGGTAAATAAATTTCCACCTTACCCTTGTAATTTGTGTTTCGCTTTGATTATTGTGTATCTCTTAAAGTTTTCTTGAGAGAAAAGGAAAGATTTCTCCCTATCACCTGACTGTAGTACATATTTTTTACTACGTATATAAAATATCATGAAATTTCTCACTATCACATGAGTTCTCCTTAGCATAGGGACTTGATTGTACTAATTGAACAAAATTTAGACTTGATTATACTTTTTAAAGGGCAAAAGGACACTAGAAGTGCCATAACTTGTGTACGGCGATCACTTTGGTGCAATAACTTTTTTTCGGATCACTTTGGTGCCAACTTTTTTGAAAAACGATCATTTTAGTGCTAATGCTGACGTGGCTCGCCGGAAATCCGATGTGGCGCTGACACGGCTCGTCGGAGAGGTCCAGTCAGCATTAAAAACAAAAAACGACGCCGTTTAGCCCGCTGACGTGTACTTTTTTTTTAAAAAAAAATTATATTATATTAAATAATAATAATAATAATAAACGTGCGGCAGTGCAGGGAGCCCTCGCTGCTGCCGGCCGCCAACCCACCACCGCCGGAAGGAAGGGTTGACGGTGGTGGGCGCAGTGGTCGGCGAGGGCCGGATCCAACGAGGCGAGACCGACCTCGCCGTCGCTGGGTCGCGACGGCGGCGCGGCCTCACCTTCGGCCGGCGAGGTGAGACCTCGCCGTCGCCTGGGTCGCGACGGCGAGGTCTCGCCTCGCACAAGCAGCGAGGCCGACCTCGCCGTCGCCTTGGTCACGACGGCGAGGTCTCGCCTCGCCGAGATCCAGCCTCGGGGCTCAGGCGAGTCACTGGACCGGCCGGTAGCCGCGACCCTCGTGACCACCGCCCCACCGCCACCGACCCTTCCCGGCGGAGGTGGGTTGGCGGCGCAACGACGAGGGCTCCTCGGCGCCGTAACTTTTTTTTTTTTTTTTTTAAATTTAAAAATTCGAAAAAAAAGCCAAATAATTTTCACGTGTACAAGTCAGGCCTTTTTTTTAATATAAATGCCAAGTCAGCTTTTTGGCCGGAGTTACTAAAGTGACATGTTTTCCTCCGACTTAGCACCAAAGTGATCCGAAAAAAAGTTATGGCACCAAAGTGATCGCCGTACACAAGTTATGGCACTTCTGGTGTCCTTTTGCCCTTTTTAAAGGCTCCAGACTCAATTGCACTTTACAACAAGTTTTAGGATTATCGGTGCACTTAGATAAAAAAAAATAAGGAAAGAAATTTAAATAATAAAAAAGACAACTGCAATCGTTAAGTACATTTGAATGGCTTTGATTTGCCTCAAATATGCTTTCCACACCCCATACATTGTCATTGTACATTATGAATACGGGTCAAGAAATGTTAATGAAATAAGTCGGGAAGCAAAGATGATAGATGACAATGAGTAGTGGATGATCCACTCTCTTGATGATTGAGATCATGACGCATGATCTGGAAAATAGTAGATTATCTTGCCTATTTTAACAACATATCAACATACATTAGATGAAATAAGAAAAACTACAATCCGCATGTTTTTATTTTGTGAAAAATCGACAATTTGAAAAATATTTTTTTAAAATTGATTGAGGATATCGCAGACAAAAATGATTTAACTAAAAGATTTTCATCATCAACAAAAATATTTAGAAATAGATTATTATTGATAATGAAAATCCGTTGACTCATTTTCATAAGTGATGCAAACAATTAATTTTATTAACATGTTTTCCAAATCATTAACGTGCCCTGAACCAAACGCACGAGTGTTGCAAACAGTATGTCTTGGGCGAGTCCTTGTCAGTGCTCTTTGTCAGAAAAAAAACTCACTGTTGGAACAACCAAGCCCAGAGAGAACAACTAGATTTATCTGCAGAAAGTCCACAGATGGAGAACAGTTGATTCACTCTCCCTTTATCCGCCGTTTTCAAATGCAAAACTTAAAAAGTGTTCGATTTATGACGAACTTTTTAAACAAATCCTTTTACTGTAAAAACTTGCTTCCCGTCGATGGCGTCATACCTAAGTTACAAGGTTAGTTGATGAAGATTTGATTCACTATATTAAATGCTTTAACAAGGATCCATCAAACAAACCTATTCACAACTCTAGAGAATGTCCGTGATGATAGATATTTATACGTAAACTCAAACTTTGACTGCTTGGCACGCATAAAGGTGGAGCTTAGCATGTCAAGTCTCGAAATGTGCACCAAATGAATCAAGATATAGTCCAGACCTCCCATGAAACCCAACAATCTTTTTACCAATTGATGGAAAATAAAAGTAGTTCCCGATCTCCTTACCAATTGGCCCATAAGTTCTTTCGTTGCTCTGAAATGTGAGGGAGCGAACAACAATATGCCCGCAAAAAGATCCAAAGTGACCAGAAAATGAAGTCAAGTACTCTCGAGGATAATCAAGTTTAATCTGCAAAATAATGAAGACAAACATATTTAATCCCAACCCCCTAACCGTATAATCTTGAAAATCAGCATAGAAAGAACACTTTGGATGATAAGTTGTATTTGGTTATACAAACAATGTAATAGCTAAATAGATAATTCCCCTGCATCTAGAGCATAAGACCTATTTGGTCCGCCACAGTTATCAAATCATTCGTATGTAAAATTAAAGGCAATTGCTTAAAAAATGCTCTGGGATCTCTTTGAGAACAGTTACTAAAATGAAGGAAAATTGTTCTCAGACCTAATATTCTTTTTTTTTTCTTTTTCGGAGGCAGTACTTTTCTGTGATGATATCACATCATACGCCCCGACAATGACTTTCTCAGAGGATCATTCTCATTCCAGATCATTTGCCAATCTAAACTCAAAATCTACGGACTGTTCTCATATCTTACTTTCACCTCTACGCTCTATTTAGGATACCGTCACACTCCTGTGCATAAACGTGACCTCCAGACCACTCAAAACCAAACCTTAGCAACAACACAGAAGTTGCACGTTCATAAGATCATTAAGTAAATGTCTAGAGGCCATACCTCGAGTGTTAGATTTCCTCCATCTCCACCATGTTTAGGGCCCTGAACCACAGACCCATTCTTGTCGTACTCAACAATAATGGAGTCAATAACTAATCCCGCTTTTACAGTTATTTCTCTCACACCCGTGCTATCTCCATCGTCCCAAGGACTGCCACCTTGTCCTCCAAATGGCCCAATGGATTTCAAGAAACGAAGATCAGAAATTGGTTCAGAGTAGACTCCTAGTGCATCAAGCTGGACGCCAGACCTTCCGTGAAGCCAATAAGCTTGCTGCATGTCAATGCACAGCTAAAGGAGCTTCCTTCCTCCTTACCAAAGGGTCCATGCCTTCTTATATTGCTTTCAAACGTGAGTGATTGAATAACAGAATTATCGTGTCTGATATAACCTGACACGGAGGTCAAGAACTCACGAGGGTAGTCCAAGTTAACCTGCGGAATTAACAGGTATTTATCGCATTTAACTGTCACATTGATCCATATAAAAGATGATAGATAGATTATAGTGGCCTAAGAAAACACTGCATCCACGTACAACCTAGACCCGAGAATAAGATGATAGATCATTAGGGTTCTCTGGCGCGCTTTGCTGATTCCCTTCATTTAGTATTAAAAAAGAACTTATCATACTAGGTTACTCACATGGGGTCCACCTTGCATAAAGCATATTAATTGACCAAAAACTTATCGTACTGGGTTGCTCTCATGGAGTCCATCTTGCATAAACATATTATTGACCTTCGTGTAATGTATAAAATAAAAAGGGATGAGTATATGAGAAGTCCTAAAACTTGTCAAGAAAGTACAATTGAGTTCTAAAACATTCGAAAAATGCAATCAAATCCTAAAACTTGTCAAATTAGTACAATCAAGTTCTGAAATTCGAGCTTATGACCCTAGACTTTCAAGCTTTGTTGAGCTTGGCCTTGGGCGCTCGAGCTTCTTTAAGCTACTCGAGTTTCATCGAATTCGGCCATGGCAGCTCCAGCTTCCAGGCTTCTTCAAACTCATGCCCATGGCTAATCAAGCTTCTACCAGCTCAGACATGACCGCTCGAGCTTCTTCGAGCTCACGTCCATAACAGCTCAAGGTTTGTTGAGCTTGGCCATGGCCGCTCAAGCCTTGTCGATCTCTGCGGCCATGGCCGCTCAAACCTCATCGAGCCAATTTTATGATTTTTTTTGCGTGTTTTTCTATTGAAACTTGGCAGATCTTCTGCATTGTGCTGGGATCATGTTGTGTTTTGCTAATGTCTCTATCATAACTATGGGAAGCGTTCAGTTTTTTATGGCAATAATTTCATTGGATCGTTTCCTATTAACAAGCAATTATATGCTTAGGTTATTTCAATGGATATTTATGTGTTTTTCGATTATAAATTGTGCAGTTTTAAAATTTGTCCTTCGAAGTACGATTTCTTTTGGCTGACAGTGAATTTGATAAAAAGATAGCTCCAAAGGACTCTCTAATCCTCTTTACTTTTTTCTTTTTCTTTTTTTGAATTTTTTTTATCTTTTGATTGATTTGTTTTTTAATTTTCAATTTTTTTTCTAATGTGGCACTTTGTTGGTGCCCCATGTTTTAAGAAAGTAATAAAAAAAGATTCATCAGCATTTTTCCTTAGCCTAATTGGACGAAACTAATGGAGATTACACCAATTTAACTAGATTTAGACCTTGACCAAAAAAAAAACCAAGATTTAGACTTGATTGCACTTTTTAAAAACTTTAGAACTCAATTGCACTTAGCAATGAGTTTTTTGGATTTTCTGCTGCACTTATCCCAAAAAAAATTAAGGGAAGAAATTTACATAATAAAAAGGACAACCTCAATCGTTTAGTACATTTGAACGGCTTTGATTTCCCTTCTAAGATGCTTTCCACACCCCATACGTTATCATTGTACATTACGCATACGGGTTACTATCACAAATAACTTAATTCGATAAAACTTTTCAAGTTTGCTAGAAAAACTAATACTTGATATAATAGTTGCACAGAAATGTGTGTGTGTGTGTGAGAGAGAGAGAGAGAGAGAGGATCAAAGGTAGTATGAATGGAGAATATTCAATGAACTGACCATATGGATATTTCCGTTTTCGTGACCATGTGCAGAGGACCAAATAGATTTGCCATTATCGTCATACTCAAAGGAGATGCAGTTGACATCATCTTCTAACATTATCTTTATTTTCTGTACACCACTGAATTTACCATCATCCCAAGAGTGTCCACCTTGGCCTCCAAATGGTCCAAGACACCTGATCGGATGTAGATGAGAGATTGGTTCCAAATATGCTCCAAGAGATTCAAGATGGGAACCAGAACTCCCATAAAATCCAATGATCTTTCCACCAGTTGCTGGAAATGAAAACTTCCTTCCGGTTTCAGTGCCGAATGGTCCATATGTTCTTTTATTACTTTGGAATGTGAGTGAATGGATGATAGTAGAACCAAAGTCATTGACAATATATCCCGAAACCGAAATTAGAAATTCAGTCAGCCAGTCCAGATTTATCTGTACCAACCAAATAGAGGGTAAAGAAATGTTAATGCAACAAGTTGAGAAGCAAAAGCATGGTAGATGACAATGACTAGTGTATGATGCTCTTGATTATTGAGATGATGATTCATGATCTGGAAAATAGTATATTATCTTGCCTACTTCAATATCATATTAACTATAATAGATGTAATAAGGAAAACAACAACCCGGGTGCATTTATTTTGCAAAAAATCAATGATTTGGAAAACATTTTCCTAGAATCGATCGAATGTATCGCTTACAAAAATGAATTAACAAGAAAATTTTCATCATCTACAAAAATATTAGGAATATATTGTTGTTGATGATAAAAATCTGTTAACTAATTTTTCTAAGAGATACAAACAATTAAATTTAAGAAAATATTTTTCAACTCATTGATTTTCCAAGAAATAAATGCACCAGTGTTGCAAACATTGTCTCTTGGGCGAGTCCTTGTTAGTGCTCTTTGTCAGGAAAAAAAACTCATTGTTTGAAGAACTATGCCCAGAGAGAATAACTAGATGTTGTCATACCAACCATAATCCATCTGCAGAAAGTCCATAGATGGAGAACAGTTGATTCACTCTCCCTTATTGACCATTTTAAAATACTATAAATTTTTTAGAAAGTGTTCAGTTTTATGACGGATTTTCTTCCTGTTGATGGTGTCATACCTAAGTTCCAAATTTTAATAGTTTATCACTTTCACCCAGACACCATCTTCAGCAATGGCAGGATAAGCATCATTAAAAATAAGGGGTAATGTTTATCAAACACCGAGTTCCTACTAGAGTAGTGTACCGTGTTTCTTTTGCCACCATGACTTGTACCGTGTCTGAAAGAACGACCCTCCTCATAGGTAAAACTAATAGATTCAATTGCAGAACCAGAGACTACAACAATTTGTCTGACATCTACATGCTTGCCATCATCCCAGCGGTTTTCCCCATTTCCAAATGGCCCTATGACTTCGAAGGGATATGGATGAGAGACAGGACCAAAATGAGCTCCAATGGAATCCAGAAAAGGGCCACACCTTCCATGAAAACCAATGATCTTTCCATCAACTTGTGTAAAACTGAAAAACTTCCCTTTCTCATTGCCAATTGGCCCATGTGCCCTCATATTGCTGTGGAAGGTAAGAGAGTTGATGACATGAAGAGAATCTTCTCTAATGTAGCCTGACACCGAAGTCAAGTATTCAATTGGATAATCTATATTTACCTGCAACAATTGCAGAACAGCAAAGTGAGTATCAATCACCTTGAAGAAGGGAAAAATTCCATGCTCTCTAGATGCATTATTTAGGTTAAGCTTTCCCAAAACAAAAGAAATCTAATTATTGGGATGACTGAATTCCTTCTCATATTTTGGAGCACAGTTTGCCTTTTTCACTAGTCTTGTGCCATAACAATTGAACTCCATCTAGAACCCCCAATGCTTTGCTCCATAATTAAATGGCATTCTTGACGTTCTATATTGACAGCGACAAGCACTGAAGCATTCTCTGATTAACGGTAACATCAGTTAATGATGCTAGTACAATTTTTTCTTTTTGGCACCCTGAAAAACAAATCTTAGCAAGGTACAACAAAGCCATTGACATATTGGGAGACGATCAAGCATTGTGGAAGTACCCAGTTGATATGTTTCAAGCAATTCCATCTTTTATGACTCCGCGACACCACTTTTTCTCAACCTCCATTCCACAAACGAACAGTAAATGATACTTACATGGACAATGTCATAACTAGACGTAAATATTGCAAATCAACAAAGCAAACCATAATAATGCACTCACATCCCATGTGAGATCTGCCAAAGATCCACCATGTCTTGGCGAGCGCACCATACACCCATTCTGAACATAGTCAACAGTAATGGACTCGATCGCTGTTCCTGTGACAAGCCTTATTCTTCTTATGTCACTGTATGTTTGATCATCAAAAGAATGTCCACCATGGCCTCCAAATGGCCCTACAGAGGGGCGAAGAGAGGAGAATGGATCTAAAGTTATTCCAATTGAATCAAGATGAGGATACCTTACCAACTTCTCCAATATCTCATGCCACTGATTTTTCTTACTAGAAAGAAAGGAACCAAATCTCTTAAGAAGCACTGGCAGACCACCTGCATAGTGGACAAGACTCTTGAACAACTCTTCATGCCCTTCTTTAGGTTGGTCTTCGCCGAAGGCATGGCGACTCATGAGTTGGAGTGATTCTTTAGAACCCAGTCCAGGGAGCATGTACTTATCATCCACTTTGAGATCTTTCAGAAGCCACTCTTCTCTTGTAGTTATCAAGATTCTACTCCCATATTGGAAACATTCTCGATCTCCAGCGCCAAAATACTCAATTTGGTGCTTCTCGGTGATGTTATCGAGAACTAGAAGGATCCTTTTCCGACAGAGCTTAGTTTTTATCTCGTTGATGTTGCTGTTAAGATCATACACTTCTACACCTTGTACCTTCAGAACATCTTGGAGAAGTCTCTTCTGAAGAAGTAAAAGAGTATCTTGGTTTGCAACTCCGACATTTTCGAGAAAGCTAACCCCGTCAAATTCCCTAGAAACGCGATGGCAGACGGCTTTGGCCACTGTTGTCTTACCAATTCCTTTCATTCCCCATATTCCAACCACACGGACATCATCCTCTGACCTAATCTCCAGCAACGATATGACATCGTCTACAAAGGAATCTACCCCAATAGCATCAGGGGAGCTTGTTCTGGGGATAATCTTCAAGAGATGTCCTACAATTTTCTCAATGAAAAGCGATTGATCCCTGCAGTTGTACGTGAAGAACAAGTTCAATTATGTCTAACTATAGCCTGGAGACGCCATCGGCATATAAGCAAGAAACAGATGAACTAAATTCAATCAGCAGTAGAGTTCAAATCGAGTACCAATATGAGCTTTTGCGGCGAGTGACTGATACGACTAACAAGAACATAATTTTCTTGGGGAAGAAGGTGCATTACCCATTAGCATCATTATTCAAATGCCATCCTGACAAATTCCCAGCTTCTTTTAGCGAATCCCTCCACTTCTGCACCAGCAAATCGTCCGTGTGGGTGGCCAAACACCTTCCGAAACCATCCCCGAATCGCTCGCTCTGTTTCCGAACGTCGCGTGGCTCAACATCGTAGAAAATGGGCAGAAGCACATGACCCCGATGATATCTGAACCTCCTGTTGCACTCCAGGATCTCCACCAGCTCGTTCAAGCACCACCGCGAGTCGGCGTAGTTGGTGGTGAACACGACGAGAGAAACCCTAGAATGGCGAATCGCGTCGAGCAGCTTGGCCTCAATGAGAATCCCGGTCTCCTCTTTATCATTGTCCTCGAAGTAGTAGATCCCCGCCTGCTTCAGCGCACGAAAGAGGTGGGCCGCGAAATTCTTCCTTATGTCCCCGCCCCTGAAGCTCACGAACACGTCGTACTTCCACCGATGAACCGAAGCGGAAGAAGATGGAACGAGTCCCTCCATCTCTTCGATCTCCATGAGGATAATCCGCGATTGAGAGAGAGACCAAGAAGAAGCTCGAAACCTTTCCTCGCAGGCGGAGCGCACAAATGAGAGAGAGAGAAGGCGCAAGTGGTGAGCGAGAAGGGAACGAAAGTTCAAAGCTTCGCCACCGGTACAAATGCTCGGCGTCTTCTATGAAGTGCCGGGACCAGCTGGCGTGGGAGACTTCATTTGTTCAAAAAACTGGAGAGAACTTTCTCGCTCGTGGGTTTGAATCGTCAAACAAGACCATTCACCGATGTCTGCTGAGAGCTCAGCTCGAGCTGGGTCTCCACGCGACAGAGACGTGTCTGAACTCGCAGACGAGGATTTGAAGCTTCAGAACGCCGTCGCTCGTTGATCGGTGGAACGGAGATTCTGCGAATCTGTCGACATTTGCTGACGTAAACGCAATCTTACATGGCTGCTGCATGCGAATGCTAATTCTTTATTTCCTCGAAAGCTTCTCTTCTCCTGATCTCTTTTCACTTTTCAAGAGAATTGATATTACGAAAAACTTTAAATTTATATTTTTATAATAATTTTTCTTTAAATTAATTTTTTAATTATAAAAAATTCTAAATTAGTATATCTGTGACAAATTTATCTTCGGTTTGTTTTCGTTTGTCACAAGTCTACCAGTTTGTGATTTTTTTTATATTAATCCAATTTAATCGAAATTAACAGAGGATAAATTTATCACAAATGTACCAGTTTTGAGTTTTTTATGGTCAAAAAATTAATTTAGGATAAAATTGTCACAAGTGTACCAGTTTGAGATTTTTTATGATCAAAAAATTAGCTTGTAATAAATTTATCATAGGTGTACAAGTTTAGAATTTTTCGTCATATTATCCCTTTTCAGAAAGATACTTATAAAAAAATCCTTTGCATGTTCTTTTTTTTTTGTCAGAAAAAATCTTCAGCATGTTTAGCCACTTTTTAAACTTGAAAAAGTTGGGAACCAAAAAAAACAAACTTAAAAAGGCATTTTTCAATAATAAAAAAAAAGAAACTCAAAATAGCAAAATTTCATTAGCTAGTTTTTAATGAGAAAATGACACAAATGATCCCTGAATTTTAACCGAATATGCAATGTGGTCCATGAACTATTAATTTGTTCAATGTGGTCCATAAATTTTACCTCATGTGCCGAATTTTAATTTGTTTAATGTGGTCTATGAACTTTTCGTACATGTCCAAATTTCAAGGTCCAAAGTTTATGGACTATTTATGTCATTATTCCTTTTGAATGTTTAAACGAGATGTGTAAATTATATAGAGTTTAGTAAGTTGCAAGTAAGTAAATTTCCCATATCGATCAGTAACTTTCTCTTTCATAGTATTGAATTTCCTCTCCATTGATCAATGATTATCAAATATAAGCGCAAAATTATTGAAAGTAAGTTTGGAACTCTAAAATTATGAGAAGATACTAACTCTTAAATGTAGTCGTTAACTTTTCATACAAAAGAAAAAATAGAGCAAGTTTCAATATATTTTAGAAATTGAAACTTTCATGTTAATTAATAATATTCGTTACGGAAATGGAAGATGATAGTGACTTTTATTAGAGGTGAGTATGAGTTCCGAGTAGAACCATAAATCAAACCTAAAAATTGGTCCAGTTCCCAAGTAGGAATCGAACCAAACCAGACTAGGAACCGTAGAACCAAATCGGGAATCGGAGAATCAGATCGAACCGCGGTAACCCTAGAACTAATAGTATCTATGGATCTTTTCACCAATCTTCATACTAGTAATATCAAATTTTCAAAATCCGAAACATCATTTCATTACTAATGATATTCAATATGTTCTTCCATTACTAGGTTTAGTTTTAAACTTCCTATGGTGTAGGTGGAAGATATGTACCCATTAAAATCCACCAGCAACTATACTCATTACAGGAGAAATCCATTATGTTATGCACTTTAGAAACCACAAATTAATTAATCACTACTCTTTTACACATGTTTCTAGTTTACTCTTGAATTAATACCTTTCATTTACTCTACATGACAACATAATAAAAATTCTCTTATTAGGTTTGACAAATTATTTTACTTATAAACGGTTTTGTTTGGGATAGGCAGTCTTGTCAATGGAACTCTATCTATCTGAAAGGAAATTTTGTTGTTGCTTTAATTTTTATTTTGCTTGACTAAAAATGAAGCAAAAAAAAAAAGAACTAAAAAATGAAACCCAAAGAAAAAGGAATTCGCCAATTCCCCAGTAGATCTTAAAACCAACCCTAGAACTTCCAATGTCAGTTTAAATGTATACATGGTAGGTTTTTTGTTCTAAAAATTTGAAAATTAGTCCTGACATAGTAAGTTTTTGGTGGAAACCTACCCTAGAATCGCTCACCCTTTAACTTTTGCACTTGATTAGTGACATTTAATATAAAAATTGGTCATTTTAACCCATTAGTAAGTTTCGGAAATAAATACTGATAATTTATTGAAACAATTAGTTCTTTTGAAACAATCCTACAAATGTTGGAATATGAACTCAAAAAGGTTGGTAATTTCAATTTATATTTGGTTACTTTAACATGATAAGCTATGCTAGTAAATGTTGGTAAATTATGGTAATAGCTTACAATTTATGGACATAATCTTGTTCCATGTACCATGTAAACTCCATGATTAGTTGGCAAATCACGAACATAATTGTTGACACCTAAATTTTGACAATCCAGTCAGTCGTTCGTTGCATAAAAATTAGGGATCGATCCCAGTCCCTAGACAAAAAATTAGCATATAGATTAGAAGCATTTGAATTTGTATTTAGGCTCACATAGTTGCATTTGCATTGGACTGGCGGCGGATGGACTCAAGTGCAGAGGTTGTGAACTCAATGGAAATTGGACTAAACTCGCGTGGATTAAAGATTTTGGCCTAGCCCATTTATTTTTGCGCGAGGGGTCCTACACTTAGAAAGAATTTTCGTAAGTTCACGATCTAGGGACATGCGATCAAGAGCAACATATAAATCGTGCAAAAGGTTATATTCTTGATTGTGTGTATATTATATGTTTGCCATATATTTGGTGCATAATTCTTGATCAAGAATCGATAAAAAAGAGAGAGATTCTTTTCCGAGTCTTGAAGGGCGTAATCTTGTCGGTTTAGGCGTGGAATATTGGCTGAAATACGGACAATATTCTGATTTGGGGAGTGAAGAAGACAAAACAAATATAAAAGAAGATGTGTGCGAGAGGGAGAGGAGGAAAGAAATTGCAAAGCTAGATTGTGCAATATGTGGTTGAAAAGAGAAAATATTGTATATTTTCTTTCCTTGGTGGGCTCCATTTCTTGGCATATAAATAAGATGATAGTGCAATGCGTGAAGGAGGGGCTTTTCATTTGGATCGGATCAGACACAAGAAAGACAAAGAGAAAACACGAGAGCGAGAGAGAGGAACGGGGGGAGAGAGAGGATCACGGGTGGACTTGTCCTGCCGCCGCATCCGTGTGGCCTCACTGCCGGGCCTCCATCAACGTCGCGCACGCTCACGGCCAGACCTGTGGCCGTGAGTCACTGCTGCCCCGAAGTCGACACTGCCGTGCCCGTGTCGCCCATTCCAACGCCGGGCTGGTTGCCGCTTCTCCCTGACACGCGCGGACTCCTGCCGCTGCTGTTCCGTGACGTTGCCGTCCCACTGCTGATTGCTGAGCCGCCGCCTGTCGCTGCTTCTCTCACGGCCAGACCTGTGGCCGTGAGTCGTGACCCTCCTCGCTCCGATCTCTACTGAATCCGCACCTCTGCTGCTCGTGCCCCGTTCAAGCCTGCACCAGTGAGAAGTCCTTACACAACGACGCTGAACCAGCCCTCTGACGACGAAGCCATCGAGCGCCGCTTACTGCTCCAAGTTCAACGCTCACGACGTCACCGTTCTCCTTCTCTTGCCAATGCGAGACCACAACATCCAGCAATTGGTCTGACGTCCCTGCATGACTAGATCGGCTTTTGTTTGATACACACTGAAGCATTGAAGACAGTCAAGTGGAAAGCTTCATTGTGTGGGCTTAAATAGTCAAAGTTTGATAATCAGAAGAAGACCATTACAAGACCAGCCAGATTCGGTCAAAAGCTGAAGGACGATGATGCATTTGCTGATCCCGAGTTGACCGAGAGCCCACTGTCGAGTCACGCCCCTGCTGTTGCGTCACTCTCGCGGCCGACTCCGTGGTCGCGAGCCAGTCCATTGTCGCCGCATCCGCCGTCGATCGCTCGTCGCCCGTCATCGGTTATCCGTTGCCGGTCCACTCGCCGCGATCCCGATCCGCCACGAGTTCAAATTTGGAATTATCCGCCAATTAGGTAAGATTATTCGAATATTTATTTAATTTCCTAGTTTTCGGGTATTCGAATATTTCGTGAATATTTTGATGGATAGCTATATATCTTAGGATAATATTTGCGATATCCGCAATATTCGAAAACACCTAAAAATTAGGAATCATTCCTAATTTGGCAACGTATCTGGACGACTATCCGACCTTATCCCTAAGGTACGATACGCGGCGATACGGAAAATCGTTATCTTGTCCATAATCACTTGGATACGATAATATATTTAATTTGCTTTCCAAATTTAAACAATCAACTTTCTGTCGATATCTATAACCCTATAGATATGACCGTTAGTTTGATTTCTTTGCCTTATCTGAATTTGAAGAATCTTGCGGATTGCGTGGATTGTTTGAATGTGATTGGTATCTTTGTTTGATTGTTTTTCTTTTAAATAAAGAAAACCAAAAAAATTGTTAGTTAGATTTAAATTAGAAATTTTGCATGCTTAGGGAATCTTAAATATATCCAAAAGAATAAGATAATTATTTGATTTAAATTGGGATTTAGGGTGGCATATTTCCTAGTTTAAATTAGAAATTATTTTAATCTTAGTGGATTATTTAGGATATTTAATAATTTCGAATTTTAATAAAAATCCCCCAAAAAAAAAAAGAATCACTTTAGGATAGATCAAATCATTTTCTCTAGGATAGATTGCATGTTAATTTGAGTAATTTTTAATTCCGAATTTCATTTGAAAATACCAAAAATAAATCATTTGTCCGTCATT